CAAGCCATTAAAGATCTGGAAAATCCTAGATCTTTTCCAGGTGCTTTTCCCTGGAAACATACCCTTAAACTCGGACCTGGTCGGGAATCCAGGGCCGTGGTGCAATCACGTTCCAGAGCCTGGGTTCCTCTACCGTGGTCCAACCCATGCAGACCCCATGCAGAGTCAGGGTCACTCCCTCTCAGGTGGCCCTGGTTCATAGAGCTTTTCCTAGGGTTCTTAATATCAGAACCAAAATACATCTCCTTGAGGCTTCGACCCATCAGGTCCCATGGTTACCACCTGGGCCATCCAGGACAAGTCGGGCTGCCCTTCACTCGGCAGACTTTCCACCAGCTGGTCACAGTCTCCGTGCCTCATGACCCTCATCCTCATCACCACCCTTTTCTCCAGTCACTGCATGCTCCCTCCATGCACGGGCTTCAGGCCCCGTCATCATCCTGCCCAGTCACATCTCAAGTTCCTTCCACTGGTCTACAGTGACCAGGCAGCACAGCAGCCCGCCTGTGATATAAGAGCCTAGTGGCGGGCTCCGTCATCCACACATCTCCTGGTAATCCTCAGGACCCAAAACATACACAACAAGGTAAGGGATTCTCCAGTCACAGTCCCTGCTCCTGCATCTTTCCAGATTCATCCGATTCACGTTAAATTGTAAACCTAAGAAAATAAATGCTCTCCTTAGGCTGGGGTCTGACACCCTCTGCCATCTGGTGCAGAACAAAGTGGCCGTTCTTCAGCAAAAAGAGCACAGCAAGGACCTGTGCAGGGAGAAACTCAATGGCAGGAACGGCCCTATGTCCACCGGTCACCCTGACAGCCCCGTGCAGACACAGCGTTTCTGGGTTTGCAGCAGCAGATACTGATGATTCCTACCATTAGCCTTTACTTTCTGCATAAGCGCGCCACAGAGGTAAGAAACAGCCAGAGTGAGAACCTCTGCGCTCGGCTAGGAGTCTAGGAAGACCTTCTGGCAGGGTCCTTGTCGCGCACAGCTGGGGAAGGGCGCCGAGGTCTGTTCAGGAAGCCGCGAGGGCTCCCTGGGCCAGGCTAAAGCCAGACCCTGGGGGATGATGGATGGGAGCACACACGCGTGCCCTCTAGAGGCTTCGTTTCCTGTGCTTGCGGACCACCAGCAGAGTGGCATGGCACAGGCGGCAGGAGGTGCTGTGAAAGATGAACACCCTACGGCTTCTGCTGGTTTTGTCTTGGTCCTGGGAGCCAACTGTGTGAACTGGCATCGGGGCTCTCAGGCCTTTTGGCTTCTGGTTGGATTTGGTCAAGGAGGGGCCACTGGAGACCAGTGGGAGGGAGAAGAGTGAGGTCACCCTCACCCTCCCGGTCACCACAGCTGGATGTGTCTCTCTTGAAGGCCACAGATCCTAGCTGGAAGCTTTCCCAGATACTTGCCCTCTCTTCGCCCCATTACATCCCAGGTTCTACACCAAACCCACCACTCTCCCCGCACCTCTGCAGACAGTCCCAGGAAGACTCTCCTTGGTGAGCCAGCTTGCGAGCCCCATCCCATTCCAGATTCATCAGCTGACTTCAATGCATTCTACTGACCAATGGATTCAAAGGACCCTGAAGAATTTGCTGACTTCAATGGAATTTTATTTTTCTTATACTCTAAAGAGATTTGAACCTAGTTATTTGTTCCAATAGGTTATGTTAAAAACCATAAAATTCAACTACTTAACACACATCTTCTATACAACTTTTTATATCTGTAATTCCAACTTTTCAGCACTTGGTCAGGCGACAGAGAACACACTAGAAGTAACTAGTCACAGAGCCTTGCAGGAAAGAGAAGCAGAAATGGTTTCTTATAACTGAACAGTATTCTTAGAACATAAAATACAGGCCAGGTGTGGTGACTCATGCCTGTAATCCCAGCATTTTGGGAGGCTGAGGTGGGAGGATTGCCTGAGCCCAGGAGTTCAAGACCAGGCTGGGCAAAAGAGTGAAACTCCGTTTCTATAAAAATACAAAAAATTAGTCAGGTGTCATGGTGCCTGCCTGTGGTCCCAGCTACTTGGGAGGCCGAGGTGGGAGGATCACTTGAACCTGGGAGGTCGAGGCTGCAGTGAGCCATGATGGTACCACTGCACCCCAGCCTGGGTGACAGAGTGAGACTCTGTCTCAAAAAATACAATCAATCAATAAAATAAAACAAAACATATATAACTAGCTTTATTTTCAAGAACAGAATGTTTAATTTGGGTGTTTTACACAATGTACTTTGAAGGAATTAACAGTATATAAAACGATCAAAAACATCGTATATCATTGAATCTACAATGATATGTTCTGACTTTAGAGATGTTACAATTTGGGGGGAAAACATGGCTTTGAAAAAATGAAATATAGACTGTTTCATAAAAGCGACTCATTTGTAGTCTGATAGGTAACTTTTCCCAGGGAAAAATGATACATTTTCTTTTTATAAATAACTTATGACTTATTTTCTATTGGAAAGATGTCATAGCCGCTGACATAGAGACCAGACTCTCCTAATTAGAGAGTGGGTGGTTCCCTCGAAACCTCTGCCTTGGACTTCCAAACACACGCCACCCACTTACACATCCATGTTTGAGACACTTGCCATTTCCTCATCTCGGAGTTTCCATGGTGCCTGAAATCTTTCTGCTGGTGTTACCACTTTGGCAGTAAGACCCTTTAAGGAAAGGGGTCCCCAGTTGCTGCTTGGACACAGCCCGTCTCAGCCTTGGTATCCACTATTGCCTGGCACCCACATACCATCCCACTCACTCAGCAAGTGGACTCGAAACATCAGGCATCCAACATGGTCACGGTCACTTGTCAAACTTCCTTCAAACGCACCCGTGCTGAAGGGAACACTGGGTAGTACCAGCTGCTCAATTAAATGTGCAGAAATGCTACTGATTTATGGTAGTGCCCCCTCCCCGCCCCCATTCACTTGTTTACACAGCAGTCAACACGTGGGTGGGATAACGAAAGTGTATCTAAGTGGCAACGGTCAGTTCCTACCAGGCTGTGCATTAAAAAAACCCACAGACCTCGACTGGAAACACACAACAAATGCAAGAAGACGTGTACCTGTGAAAATGAGCACACGGCCTGACCGTAAAGGGAATCTAACCCCTGCCCCTGTGTGTGCAGCCTGGGGGTGTGGAGGGCATAGGCTGCCCACCCTGGGGGAGGCTAACCTTCTTCCCAATCAGGGAGGGGTGGCTGCACGTGCTTGCCAGGGTGATTTTTGCCAAACAGTTGCCTGAAGGAGTCTTACCAACACAAAGCGCTTGTGGCTGAATCCGTTTTCAGTGGGAAGGTCAGTGGCACCTGTGGCTGCTCTGACCTGTAACCATTACTTTCCACCATCGCTGACTTAACGGAATTATCCTCACTCACCACTACATGAGAAAAATCTTTTTTTTTTTTTTTAAAGACAGAGTCTCACTCTGTCGCCCAGGCTGGAGTGCAGTGGTGTGGTCTCAGTTTACTGCAACCTCAACCTCCTGGGTTCAATCAGCTCTCCCGCCGCAGCCTCCCAAGTAGCTGGGATTACAGGTGCGCGCCACCACACCCGGCTCATTTTTGTATTTCTAGTAGAGACGGAGTTTCATCATGTTGGCCAGGCTGGTCTCAAACTCCTGACGTCACGTGATCTTCCTGCCTTGGCCTCCCAAAATGCTGGGATTACAGGTGTAAGCCACCGTGCCCGGCCGAAAAATCAGTTTTCATTGCCTCAATATGTTAGCAGACAGCTTATGGGAGGCAAAACGGGAAGAAATGTCGTGAAGGAGAAAGGCTTCCAACCGTTCTGCAGAGGCTGGCGGGCTACTCAGAGTTCTGAACTTCAGCTTCCTGATGATGAAGGAAATGATGCTCCCCGCCTCGGGCGTTATGGAAACACACAACACACCGCACGCTCTGCCCCTTCCCTGCTAACACACGCACCTTGGGTTCACGCACTCCGCTCTGGACATGCGGAGGGGACGGGCCACTCCCTCTAATGTGGCCACTGTCTGATAGCTCGCGGGTTTGAACCCTCAATCGAGCAGAGTATCTGGAAAAAGCGTGGCAGCCATAGAGAAAGGACGGAAGCCATAAAGGTTGCCCCTGGGCACGAGACCCTTGCTGAAGACACACTTTTACCATTGCCGGTCTCACAGGTATAACCACACTCTCTTACCACTGCCGGTCTCACAGGCAACAATTCATGTTCTGACAGCAAGGTTCTCAAATGTTAATTTTTCCTTTTAAGTATTCCTTTGTTACAACTGCGCTAATTTTACCTCTCATAATGTGGGGTGTTTGTGTGTATGTGTGTGTATGTATGCATGCACTCACGTGTCTCTACTTGCATCTATGGAATTAAAAAAAGGGAATTCATTTGGAGGAGCCACTTCAGGAAGCTCAGCTTCAGCCATCAGTGGCAATAAAAATGAAGTAAGGACTCAGGTGAAAGGAGGCCTCACAATGAGCGGTGACAACTGGAATATTAATAGAGCCCACATACCAGAAAGAGCTGATGGACATTAACAGAAGAGGTGTTTATCATAACACGTTGCTAAAAGCTGAAATCAAGGCAGGTGTCTGGTTAGTTAAGAGTCACCAATATCAGAGACGATTCCTAAACTAGAAGTAGGCACCGTCCCCAGCAGAGTCACGCAGCATGGCCCGCCTTGGCTGGAGAGGACACTCGCCCAGGCTGCCAGGGTGGGCGAGACCTCAGAACCGGATCAGGCTCGTAGCTGGGAGACCAGCACTCCTACCAGCTACCAGCAACAGCGGCCAAGAGTGAGAGCAGATTTGGTTGAGAAACATGAGAATCAGACAGTGATGAAAAGGTCCCAAGGGCCCTCTAGTGCCACCTTGCAAACAGAAAGCACATTCGGTGACCAGCATTACTGTGCATTTGTGGTGCTAAGGGTGTCTAATTTCACACATTTGAAGAATAACAAAAGAATTTTCCGAAGTGGAGACTCTCTCCCTGGGCACCCCGGAGCCCTTACCTTCAGCAGTGCCGGACAGGCCATCGGCTTTGAAGTTGCTAGTGCTTTTCTTCCTTCGGTGCTTCTTTCTGTTGGCGTGAGGGGAGGGGGGCGGGTCGAGCTTGGGGCTGGTGGTGCTGGAGATGCTGGGGCTGGAGCATACGGAGTCACCCAGCCCCGTGTCTGCCGTTGGACCGGAAAAGGCAAAAAAATGCAGAGAGTGAGCACTTACAAAGTAGAGTACGCAGAAACAGCACAGCCACGCTCCTCCCACATCACACGGGGTCCTGCAAGTAACATCCCATCACTGCATTGCTGGGTTGGAGGGCCAGAGCCTCTGGTATGAGATGGGCTCAGTCCCCCTTGCTCTACTGTGCCACCTGCCATCTAAAAACAAGCATTTATTTTTCTATCACCAGCATGCTATGGATAAGTTCTCCTTCTCTCCTTTGCATGACTGGAGCTCTGCAAAAGGAAAGGGGTGAGTTTATGCTTTTTAGTTGTCTTTCTCTTCTTAAAATTACCTTGATATGTTAGAAATGAAAACGATGCATTTAGGAATACATTTGGAAATATCATCTGAAATGGGTTTGACTCCTGTGGGTGCGCAGGATAAGGGATTCCTGATCCTTTCTTCTGGCCTCAATATTACAGATGACTGTAACTTCACCTTGTTTTATTATCAGTGAAAAATTCTATGCTATGTTTTTCTCTCTCTCACCAATGTCCAGTGACAGTGTTTGGAAGTCGATATAGCAGGCCTGCCAATTTTTGATTCACTGAAGCCACTTAGAAAAATTTCAAAACCAGTGCACACGTGATTATTCACTGTAAGTGAAACTCTCAATGTATTATGTCCATTTGTATCTTATCAAAGAGAAGGCCAAAGTGGTATTAAATAACCAGAACGCACATATAATTCAACCAGGGTGGAAAAGTACACTGAACATGTGCAGGAAAAACAGGTGGTGCGTGCCTCTGGAGTCTTGAAAAGTTTTTGTTTTACGATTCAGCATCTTTAAGTCCAAAGTCAGAGTTCTGTGCAGCACACTGCACCCATTCAGCTGATTTTTTGAGCACTGACTGTAAGCCAGCAGCTTTTCGAGATGCTGGGAGCCGCCACTGATTGAGGAGAAACAGATAAAACATTCCTGCCCCCAGTGGGAACCCTCTAAAGTGGAGTGGCAGTGACATGGCAGCCGGGCTAGAACCTAGAGTCCACCAGAAGCTGGTAAGAGTTACGGGAAAGACAGAATAGGAACACGGGGCATCGAGGCTAGGAGGTTTGGGAGAGGTGGCAGCAATGGGGGGTGTCATTTAAAATAGGGTAGCTGGGGCAGGTCTCACTGAGCAGGGGACACTGAGTTAAGACTTGAAAATGGCAGAGGAGTGAGAAGGTAATGAGGGCAGAGAAACAGCCAGAGCCTGGCTCTAAGGAGGGAGCCTGGTGTGTTCCAGAAACGGAGAGGGGGCCGGAGTGGCGGCGGCCAGTGTGGGTGGGGGAGGCCTGTGGAAGGTGGCACTGGAGAGGAGGGGGCTCGTGGGCCACCGTGAGGACCCTCTCCTGTGCTTTGGGGGAAATGGGGAGCCACTGCAGGGTTTTGAGCAGAACAGTGACATGATTTCAAATATAAAGATAATGGAAATCAAAATGAATTGAAAATATGTATATTTTGCAAAGTTCTAGGAATTTTTATTTTATGTTGAGAAATGTAAAAACATTCAATTTAAGGTATCTGAGAAATACATATGGTCCCAAGAACACCCCGATGCACGTTCCCGGCCGCCCTAAGGCAGAGACCCTTTGCCCCTCTCTGCACGGTGGGAAGCGTCACCTGTTATTGCACGCACCCTTTACACGCGGAAGAAGAGGGCTGTGGGGAGCTTCTCCTGCGAAGGGGGTGAAGGGCCACTCCAGGGTTCCTGCAGGGCAGCCCAGGCGGCACTGGACACCATGAGACCCCTGCGACTGTGTCAACCGTGTGCACTCCTTGTGGGTGGACACTCACTAACAAAAGGTGGAAGGTCCCTTCACCACTTTAAGGAGTTGCGAGAAATGTGGCAATTCGGTGTCTCAGCGACTTTCCCTCTACCAGGGCGGAGGTGCTTCCTATGTACGCACATCCTTAGATGCAGAGGCACACGGACAGGTCAGTGTCCCCTGGTGGCAGGTGGGAGGGAGGTAACGTCAATGGCAGAAATCTGGCTGTCAGCTTCCTGGGGCATCACTGCTGTGACTCCACCATCACGGCTCCTCTACTGGTCTTCTTGCCATCTCCTCCATCCCTAGAGGAACGGGCTCCCCTCTCTCCACCCCTAGAGGAACGGGCTCCCCTCTCCTCCATCCCTAGAGGAACGGGCTCCCCTCTCCTCCATCCCTAGAGGAACGGGCTCCCCTCTCTCCATCCCTAGGGGAACAGGCTCCCCTCTCTCGCTAAATGAACCTTCCTAGCTTGTCCTGGTTCCATCTTTCATCCTCACGTGTCTTGGCCAGGTCACTTTCACTCATTCCTCCCTCTCCATCGCTTCATTCCTGTCCTCAGAGGTCCCAAGATCTTTCACACCTGCTTCCCTACACCTTTCCTTAACCCCATTATTCCTTAAAGAATTATTTCCTTAACCCTTGAAGCCACAGTCTCAACAGCAAATACTCATCCGAGGTCACTACCCATCGGGGCTATTGCAAGCTCTACCTTCAGCAAAGCGTTCAGGGCTCTAAGCAATCCGCTGAGGCACGTGGTGTCCCTACTACCTCCACTTTACAGATTAGAAAACCAAGGCACAGGGGGAAGTTAAGTAACTTGCTGAAGTCACAGAGCTCGGTCGGGTCTGCTCAAAACCGCTGCAGACCTCTCCAGACAAGGTTCCTATCCAGATAGAGGGTTTAAATCCATTGCGTTTCTTCCTGACTCCTTGAAGTCTGGCTTCCCTCACCACTGCTTCTTCAAAATGGCACACTGTTTCACTGTGCCTTCCTTCGCCCCCTTAAGCCTTCCTTTCCCTTATCATGCTAACTGTGCCGACCCAAGATGCCATGTTTTCCTGCCTCTCCTCCCTACGTCCACGGGGGCATTCTCCATGTGCATGACACCAACACTGGTTCCAGGCTCGGCTCTACCTGACCCTCTCCTCCCAGCAGTCGGCTCCCAAGAAACAGCACTCACTCTGACCTTTGCATTCCGGGCAGCTTCCTCTGCTATCACTTTGGGCTTCACCCTTGAAACTTGACACTTGCCCGCCACTTCTGCCCAACTCCTGCTTTCCACGGTGGACATCTGGTAAACCACCTTGGTCAGCTGGACCCAAGGTGCAGCCAGCAGTCCTGAGACCCCCTGAGCCTGCACTATGGCTGTTTGGTTGCGGTGGGACTGCAGAGGTGGGAGCGGGCAGGTTTAAACAAGACACGTCCCTTGCCTTGAGCAGCCTGGAACCCCGAGCTCAGTCTGTTTTCACAAAGCCGCTCCCTGGCTGCCTGCTCTCCATTTAAGCACCATTCACCCCGGTCCAGTTCTTACCTCACCCCCAAGCCTGGACCGTGCAGCCAACTCCACAAGGTCCCTCTCCTCCCAGACTTTTTAAGCTGTCCCATGTTTTTACAATACTAATATTTCTAAAGTAGTGGTTCTTACATGTATTTCTGAAATACCAGATTCCACTGAATATCAGATAAAAGTTATAGATACCCCGGAAAAAAGGGCAAGACTAATTCATTTTTGTGTATGATTTAACACTGTTCAGAAGTCTCGTAACGTTCAGGAGTAGGACATCCAGAGACCCCCAAGATCATGACCTGGTTCTAAAGCAACCCTTCCCTGTGTTATTTATTCAATGCTCAAACCAGGCAGTGAATCCTTTTGCTCATTTTAAATATTTTCTGCCCAGGGTTCCCAAGTCTTCACCCCCTTACTCCATCCTCTCTATTCAGTGTTAGGAGCCCAGTCTGCCAGGCCTGGTGCCAGGCCATGGGAAACAATGGTCACTGTGACTGTCTTTGTCCTCAGAGAGCTCAACTCTAGCCCTGCAGGCAGATAAGCAGAACAGGCAAACGCAACTTTCCTGCTGCCGGGGGCTGCTATTAAGTAATATTATATTAAAATCATATTATTATTTTACTCTGTCCCTTGGGTGTCCTCTCATTTTGACAGGCCATGTTCATCCCCAACTGTGTGTCCTTCCTTCTGTTACTCTGTTTAACACCCTCTCCCAAACTAACATTTCTCATCTCTAAACTCCTATGGAGCCCACAGTTAGGACCTTTTGCATGCGGCTGCCAGTCGCTTATCTCAACCTAACTAGCATGCCTGCGCCCATGCCCAGGGCAACCACCAGTGCTCGCCTCCCCTGTGACCTGTGCAATGCTGAGCCCACAGCAGGGGCATTATACCATAAACTGTCCTCCGTTATCCAGCGGTTGTTTTTATGAGTGTACACCAGTATTTCTAAGATACTCAGAACACATACATTAGCTATGTCGTCCACACGACAGGCTTCCACACGGGCATGGTGGGTCTACTACTAGGCTCTCTATTCCAGGCCACCACTCTTTATGTCTCTCTCGGTGTTCTAAGCCTATGCGTTGTTACTCTTCACAATTGCCTTAGTTATGCTTGGCCGTTCTGACCATATACTCCTGTACATCCATCCACGTCAACGAAAAAGATGGTGAACAGGGTGGAGTCAAGATAGAGCTTCCCACCTTCAGATGCACCATCCACTCCTGGAAGATTCTGAGAGTGACCACTGAGCCCAGATAAATCATACTGTCTTTGTGTTCAGCTCACATATCTTTCAACTTGCCTACGAGGAAACCAAGGAACAATCTTGTCAAATACTCTGCTGAGGGCTATATGGGTACCCAACTCACACATATTTTTGACAACTTAAAAACAACAAAGGGACATCTATTTGATGTCTACCCATTCTCTTTAATAAATTCTCCCTGTTCAAATACATGCTTCCTTTTCCACGTGCACACAAAGCACCTCTTTAACAATCGAATTCAGAATCCCACCTGGGTGTGACCTGACTCACTGGCACCTAGCTCAGAATTCATGTTTCTGGAAATCAAAATGGCACGTCTGTTACTAGGCCCCTTCCCACTTCTAGCTGTAGAAAACTTTTTGCAAAATAGTTGACAGGGACAGGGACCTCTCATTTCCAAGCTTTCTCCATATCTTGGAATA